CATATGTAGTTCTAGTGCAGTAGCATAGTGTTCTAGTACAGTAGCATAGTGTTCTAGTAGTGTTCTAGTGCAGTAGCATAGTGTTCTAGTACAGTAGCATAGTGTTCTAGTGCAGTAGCATATAGTACAGTGTTCTAGTACAGTAGCATAGTGTTCTAGTGCAGTAGCATAGTGTTTCAGTAGCATAGTGTTCTAGTGCAGTAGCATAGTGTTCTAGTGCAGTAGCATATATAGTGTTCTAGTACAGTAGCATAGTGTTCTAGTACAGTAGCATAGTGTTCTAGTACAGCAGCATAGTGTTCTAGTGCAGTAGCATAGTGTTCTAGTACAGTAGCATAGTGTTTCTACAGTACAGTACAGCATAGTGTTTCTAGTAGCAGTAGCAGTACAGTAGTGTTCTAGTGCAGTAGCATAGTGTTCTAGTGCAGTAGCATAGTGTTCTAGTACAGTAGCATAGTGTTCTAGTACAGTAGCATAGTGTTCTAGTGCAGTAGCATAGTGTTCTAGTACAGTAGCATAGTGTTCTAGTGCAGTAGCATAGTGTTCTAGTGCAGTAGCATAGTGTTCTAGTACAGTAGCATAGTGTTCTAGTGCAGTAGCATAGTGTTCTAGTGCAGTAGCATAGTGTTCTAGTGCAGTAGCATAGTGTTCTAGTGCAGTAGCATAGTGTTCTAGTGCAGTAGCATAGTGTTCTAGTGCAGTAGCATAGTGTTCTAGTACAGTAGCATAGTGTTCTAGTACAGCAGCATATGTAGTGTTCTAGTGCAGTAGCATAGTGTTCTAGTGCAGCAGCATAGTGTTCTAGTACAGCAGCATAGTGTTCTAGTGCAGTAGCTTATATAGTGTTCTAGTGCAGTAGCATATAGTGTTCTAGTGCAGTAGCATATAGTGTTCTAGTGCAGTAGCATATAGTGTTCTAGTGCAGTAGCATATAGTGTTCTAGTGCAGTAGCATAGTGTTCTAGTGCAGTAGCATAGTGTTCTAGTGCAGTAGCATAGTGTTCTAGTGCAGTAGCATAGTGTTCTAATACAGCAGCATAGTGTTCTAGTGCAGTAGCATAGTGTTCTAGTACAGCAGCATAGTGTTCTAGTGCAGTAGCATAGTGTTCTAGTGCAGTAGCATATAGTGTTCTAGTGCAGTAGCATAGTGTTCTAGTGCAGTAGCATAGTGTTCTAGTGCAGTAGCATAGTGTTCTAGTGCAGTAGCATATAGTGTTCTAGTGCAGTAGCATAGTGATCTAATACAGCAGCATAGTGTTCTAGTGCAGTAGCATAGTGTTCTAATACAGCAGCATAGTGTTCTAATACAGCAGCATAGTGTTCTAGTGCAGTAGCATAGTGTTCTAGTACAGCAGCATAGTGTTCTAGTGCAGTAGCATAGTGTTCTAGTGCAGTAGCATATAGTGTTCTAGTGCAGTAGCATATAGTGTTCTAGTGCAGTAGCATAGTGTTCTAGTGCAGTAGCATAGTGTTCTAGTGCAGTAGCATATAGTGTTCTAGTGCAGTAGCATATAGTGTTCTAGTGCAGTAGCATATAGTGTTCTAGTGCAGTAGCATAGTGTTCTAGTGCAGTAGCATATAGTGTTCTAGTGCAGTAGCATATAGTGTTCTAGTGCAGTAGCATAGTGTTCTAGTGCAGTAGCATATAGTGTTCTAGTGCAGTAGCATATAGTGTTCTAGTGCAGTAGCATATAGTGTTCTAGTGCAGTAGCATATAGTGTTCTAGTGCAGTAGCATATAGTGTTCTAGTGCAGTAGCATATAGTGTTCTAGTGCAGTAGCATAGTGTTCTAGTGCAGTAGCATATAGTGTTCTAGTGCAGTAGCATAGTGTTCTAGTGCAGTAGCATAGTGTTCTAGTGCAGTAGCATAGTGTTCTAGTGCAGTAGCATAGTGTTCTAATACAGCAGCATAGTGTTCTAGTGCAGTAGCATAGTGTTCTAGTGCAGTAGCATATAGTGTTCTAGTGCAGTAGCATAGTGTTCTAGTGCAGAAGCATAGTGTTCTAGTACAGCAGCATATGTAGTGTTCTAGTGCAGTAGCATAGTGTTCTAGTGCAGTAGCATAGTGTTCTAGTGCAGTAGCATAGTGTTCTAGTGCAGTAGCATAGCGTTCTAATACAGCAGCATAGTGTTCTAGTGCAGTAGCATAGTGTTCTCGTGCAGTAGCATAGTGTTCTAGTGCAGTAGCATATAGTGTTCTAGTGCAGTAGCATAGTGTTCTAGTGCATTAGCATAGTGTTCTAGTGCAGTAGCATAGTGTTCTAGTGCAGTAGCATATAGTGTTCTAGTGCAGTAGCATATAGTGTTCTAGTGCAGTAGCATATAGTGTTCTAGTGCAGTAGCATATAGTGTTCTAGTGCAGTAGCATAGTGTTCTAGTACAGTAGCATAGTGTTCTAGTGCAGTAGCATAGTGTTCTAGTGCATTAGCATAGTGTTCTAGTGCAGTAGCATAGTGTTCTAGTGCAGTAGCATAGTGTTCTAGTGCAGTAGCATAGTGTTCTAGTGCAGTAGCATATAGTGTTCTAAGATTCTATCAGTACTGGTTTTTACTGGCCAGTAGAATAATAGTGGTTGACCTAACCTCTTCAAATGGATGTCAGAAGAATTAGGCAATAGACCTCTACATAAATATCTCCCCTAGAATTACATGTACTGCCTTTCATTCTTGTCACTACAGTGTCGTTGTGAAAGAGTTGTTTATTCCAGTGACCCCAAAGAACCATGCAGATAGTAGTGGATTGTTTGTGTCAAGAGGTTGACAAACTGCCACCTGTCAGAATGTGCCAGGAGGCAGAGTGGCAGAAAGTTGTGTAGATCTATTGCATCTGACCTTCATTATGCTAGAAAACCTTATCCCATAGAAAACATTGAACTTGGAAAATCAAGCCAATGATAAATGAGACAGAAATCTGAAAAGCAGGATACGTGTTTGAATGCCATGATCTTCAGCTGTATGTTTCTGACATCATTTCTTTCACAGTAATGTTTCCCAGTTGTGAATTGAAATAACGAGGACACCGACAATATATTGCAAAATTTGTTGCCTGGTGTATTCTGTTTCCTCTTCATTTTCACAAATTAAAACTACTGGTTGTTCATTTACTTCTTGACATTAGTCTTGTTCCAGAAGTTTTGCATGCATATCCATTTTACGGCCCTGGCTTATTTGTATGACTGTTAGTTCCTTGCCTTTTAGGCAGATTTTGACATGCTTGTTTCGGAGGCAGTAAGTCTGTTCCCCACGTACCTTCACCCCAACAGCGGGGCTCTAGAACTTGTTACTTGTCCAATTCTACATCCTAACACATTGATCCAACCCATTTGTGCAGTAGCCATCTCAGTGTCTCCATGCTGAACATATCCAGTAGGATTTAAGAGGCATGTCTTGTTTCTGTGCCAAACAACTGGATTTGGCATGATTGTCCTCGTTTAATGCCCATTTCCAACTGCCACTTTATCTCTCCTTTGTCTCAAAGTCTCCAGCGCCCAGCACATTCAGTATGTCTACCATGTTCAAACTTCTTTCTGCACCAGTTACTGATAACACGGCCAGTCAGCTGTTTCATTTCCTTTTATCCCAGCATATCCTGGTGTGTACAGCCAAGATAGTTTCTCTGGGCGGTACTTCTGGTTGCTGTCAGCCATGCAAGTGCCCCTGTGAAAGCTGCTATCTCCATTGTCATGCTAGAAGTAGTTGATCTAAAAGCCTGACTTTTTTTTTAATGTCTTCCCATTCACCTACGCTGTGCATGTCTATCTAGACCACACTCCACAAATCACAGAGCCTCTTTTATAGATAATGACATCACCTGGTCAAGTGTGCTCGGGGATGAGGGCCCTTATTTCAGCATCACCAGCTGTTTAGTTTCATTCTCTGCAATACCTAAACAATTACCTCAATGTGCTTCTGCAATTGTTCTGGTGTTTCTATCCATTCAGCTCCAAGCTTGGCCCAACCCACACAGGGAATTGCCAGCCATATTTTTCTGGTATCTTTATCAGGACCATCACAATACAATTGACGTCAGCTTATAAAAAAGCCAGCTGTATGTTACTGAGGCAAAGAATGGTAACACTGCATGTCATGAGAGTCTAGGGTTGGCTACTGCATACTGTAAAAAAAAAAACAGTAGTCACAATACTGCCCAAGCAGGAAAATGTCTAAAAGAAATTTTTTATTATAGATTTTTATTTGCTACCATCGTCCGTGTTTTTTGTGTGTGGTTCTGCCTTTATTTTTATGTTCCTGTGAGTTCCAGGGCGGCGTTCGTGGCTTAGGTGTTATGAGTCAGACTCGTAATTCCAACATAACACAATTGAAACCAACTGCTGGCTGTGTGGATTTGTATCATGGTATAGGGCGTCGTAGGTCAACCCAGCCTAAAATGAGTGCCAGGAGGGATGTCCTGGGGAAGTAAAGACATCCGGCGTAATGCTGACCACATTACCCACCTAGTGCCGATTGGTCTGTAAAAATATGGGTGCTCTTCCTATATGCCCGATGTGCCCAAGGGCGTGAAAAGGAATCGTTACTTTTTTTTTACCTTTTACTTTTTGTGGGTTCCAGTGTAAAGACTTTCTAATTATATTGTTCTCAGTTCTTTCCACATGTCCCATCCTATAATGAAGCACAATATGTGTTTCTGTGGATGTGTGAATGTGTTTCTGTGGATGTGTGAATGTGTTTCTGTGGATGTGTGAATGTGTTTCTGTGGATGTGTGAATGTGTTTCTGTGAATGTGTTTCTGTGGATGTGTGAATGTGTTTCTGTGGATGTGTGAATGTGTTTCTGTGGATGTGTGAATGTGTTTCTGTGGATGTGTGAATGTGTTTCTGTGGATGTGTGAATGTGTTTCTGTGGATGTGTGAATGTGTTTCTGTGGATGTGTGAATGTGTTTCTGTGGATGTGTGAATGTGTTTCTGTGGATGTTTGAATGTGTATGTAGAGAATGTGAATTTGTTGCAAGTTTTCTATGTGCTGTCATTTTTTAAATCTCAGAACACATGTACAAGCACACCCGAGTAAAGCCATTCCACTGCAGCACTTGTGAGAAAAAGTTCACCAGTTTCAAAGGACTCAAGATGCACGCCCGCAAACACACAGGTCATCGACCATACTTGTAAGTTGTTGCTTCTCAGGCCAGATTTTGCCACTTGTTTGAGCAATTCAATAAATTAAGCGAGAAAAAAATTTGGCTTGATAAAACAAGAAACCGAGAAATGGTATACTTTAGTTTGCCATCACCATCTTGTTCCAGACCATTGTCATATACACCTACTCTCCATCTTACGACCTTTGTAACTTTATAGCCATCCCACTTACGGCCACAAAACTTAAATAAATTAAAATATAGTTTTAAAGAAAGATAACTCACTGGTAAGTTACAAAGTTTCCTGCAACTGATGCAGTCGAGTACATAATGTGTATTTTTCATATCACATACAATAATTATCTGCACATAAATTGAAATTTTGTGTTTTGTATATAGTTTGTATAACCCATTTGAAAGAAATTACTGTTGAAAAATATAAGTTTGACTTACGAACTGTTAGTCAAAACAAAACTCGGTTGCAAGCTAAGGAGACCCTCTATATACAAAAACTAAGATTCACACATCAACTAAAACATTTGTCGTCCTTTTTAGGATGACATTTTTCGTTATTTGAAGCCCCACCCTGGCTCTTGCCAGGGGTCGCAATGTAGCCAGGCCATAAATATGGCCTAATGGCTGAACGCGGTTTCCGGGACCTCTCCACGGTGATCCTCATCCACCTTGTGTCATTTGGTGTTTATCACTTGTGTGATGTCCTGGTGGGGTAGAAAGTCAGTCAGATTCACAGATCAGCCATATGCACAAATGGATTAACCCCTCCCTCCCTTCTCCCACAACTTTTTTTTTTTTAACCACACACCCATTTATATGTAAGAAGAAATATTATAGCTTTATATTAAATGGGGACCAGGTAGTGTAATGTAACTTTTTGCGTCATTACATTTGGTAAGGAATATAATGAGAAAGGGAACTGGTCAGCCCCTCTTCATTGTGTCTTGGCCTAGACCAGGGCTATTTAACTAAGTCTACTTTGGGGCCACAATTTTGAAAATTGGGATCATCACGGGCTAGAGTTCTGTCAGCAGAATAGTCCTGACTTAGAATATACTTAGCGTAGTGGTTTTATATCAACTCAGTTCACTCTACAGTATTGGCGAGTACAGGTGATTGTTGTCCGACTGTTGCCTCTTTCTGTTGTAACTGTTCTTTCACTCCTTGTTTCAGATTGACTATCTTTTTGTTTGTTTTGTTTAGGTCTTGGATTTTGGGTAATTTCTTTCTGTGTTTCTTGAATGTGAGATGTTTTGCTGTTAGCACACCTGTTTTATGGTCAGTACCATATAGACCATTAGGGATTGCTCTTGCATCAAGAATTCTCCTTCTCTAAACTGCAGTCAGTATAAGTTAGTCAAGCTCTTGATGGAGGTGTCATTCCATTTGTAGCTAGTGTAAAGTTGTGAATCTCAACGGTTAAAAAAATAACAAGACAGTGCTGGCTGCATAGATCCAATAGTGTTTGACCATTTCTATTTCTGTCACTTTCTTTTCATTTTGTGGACCCAGAAACTGTTCAGATTCTCTTGTGTTATAACCCATCTTCCCATGACTAACACTTGACACTTAAACAGTCGTATCTGACATTGGACTGTCTTAAATGCATGCCTTTTGAAAAGTAATGATACCAGTAGATAACATGAAATATACCTTACTTTGCTTTCAAATGTTCCCTGAACTTTGAATTGTTCAGGTGTAACATATGTGGAAGAGGATTCCCACGTTCGGCATCTCTCCGATATCACATCAAGACTCATGACAAAGGTGGAGGAGTGCCGGTCGTCTGTGATGTCTGCAGTCGAGTCTTTAGCACAGAGAACAGAATGCAGAAACACAAACGCTTCAAACACCCACTGCAGGCTCCTGTGCACATGTGTGGTCTGTGTGGGAGAGTCTTCACAGCCAAGCGTAAGTTCTTTGTCAAAGATAGTTTGTAAGATCTGTTCATATGTAAGTCAAGACTAAGTTCTTTGTCAAAGATAGTTTGTAAGATCTGTTCATATGTAAGGCAAGCGTAAGTTATTTATCAAAGATAGTTTGTAAGATCTGTTCATATGTAAGGCAAGCGTAAGTTATTTGTCAAAGATAGTTTGTAAGATCTGTTCATATGTAAGGCAAGCGTAAGTTATTTGTCAAAGATGGTATGTAAGATCTGTTCATATTTAAGCGAAGCATAAGTTATTTGTCAAAGATGGTATGTAAGATCTGTTTGTATGTAAGCTAAGAGTAAGTTATTTGTCAAAGATGGTATGTAAGATCTGTTTGTATGTAAGCTAAGAGTAAGTTATTTATCAAAGAAAGTTTGTAAGATCTGTTCATATGTAAGACATTTCTTTGCGACATGCCAAATTACATAGTATTAATCTGTCTCAGCCATTTTATTAATGAAGTTTGAAAATGTTTATGTGTTATATAGAAGCAGTTTTAACATTTGGTTGTGAATGCTGGACAAATAATAAACAAGCCAATTTCTTGAGGTCTCAAAATGTGGTTTGTAGAAGAATGCTTAAAATTCATTAGCCAAAATGAGTAACCCAATGTTTTTATATATGTGATGGCCTGAAGACAACCTAACACAAACATCAAAAGGAGACTGCCACCATTTTTTGGCTATATTATGAGAAAAAGGAAACTGCAACATGTTGTGATCACTGGAAATTGTGTGGAAAGAGAGACCAAGGAAGACAGTGTGATAAGATTCTTGGCAGGTTTTTGTCATGGAATGGAGGGTTCTCAACACATGCACAGCACAATATATTGTTTATTTCAGTGGGGACTCTACCATCATTTTTCTTATTTTGTAAAAAAAAATCCAGGCCGTCATCACATGAGATTTCTTCTTTGGGTTCCCCTGGACCCCATTGGGAGGGAAGAGGAATAGACCCACTGCTCCCACCCCATCCATTCCCCAGCATTTGTTGAAATTGGATGTGTTGGGTCAAAAGATGCAGATATCCCAGCCTGGTTGTAAACTGCATCTAGTATGTCAACCGCCCTCTTAAGAGTGAACACAACAGAAGAAAAAGAATCCACTGAGAGTAAAGTTGATCTGCTTGAGACAAAGATAGAACCTGTCTGATCTGCTCTGTGTTTATTATTGTTTTCCAGCCATATTCATGAATGTGCTTGCTTGTTTTAATGTCAGGTTGAATGAGTTTTGTGATTAGTAAGTCCAAGAAATTAAAACATGACGTTTTAAATTGACTTATTCAACACCTGATCAAACTTTGTATAATATAATGACTCTATGTTTTGTCGCATTATTCCTTATTAGGAAGTCTGAAGCGACATGAGGAGGCTCATCGAGGCGTCAGACGCTATGAGTGCCAATACTGTAAACGCAGTTTCTTTCGCAAGGAGTATCTTAACTACCATCTGTTTTCCCACTCTAATATAGATCCGTCACTGGCCAACTTTAAGATTAAGGTAGTGTGACACACATTTTTTTCTTTCTGTTTTGTTTTTGTTTCATCTGAAAATCCTAGATTCTGGGTTATTTAAAATTTTAACAAGTGGAGCTCTATGTACTCTAAGAAGATTTTATAGTGATACTTTGATTTGCAGTCCTTTTAAACTCACTAACTACCAAAGTTACTGAGAGTGCCTAGCTACATGCACATTGCAACAGTCGTTGTTTATGTTGCAATGAGAGTGCCTAGCTACATGCACATTGCAACAGTCATTGTTTATGTTGCAATGAGAGTGCCTAGCTACATGCACATTGCAACAGTCGTTGTTTATGTTGCAATGAGAGTGCCTAGCTACATGCACATTGCAACAGTCGTTGTTTATGTTGCAATGAGGTCATACAAGATAAAGTTGGCACAGAACAAATTCTAAATTACATAGAAAGACAGCAAATCAAATGATTTGCCCACTTGCAGAGAATGTCTTCTGATGCATGTACCAAAAGGCATGTACCAAAAGAGGAGAGGGGCGTAGAGCAAGAGGTCGACCAAGAACAAGATGGAAGGATAACATCAGAGAAACTACAGTACCATGATGTGTCTTTGTTCGAAGCAGCCCAAAAGCTCGAAGCAGGACCTTATATCTCCCTCGACACCTGAAGCAGTAAAAGAGGATGTAAAGAAGTTGTTTATGGACCTTCTGGACAACTGAGAAATTTTGTTTCATTGGTAGTCAATGTTTGCACATGTTTTAAATTCACCAGTCAACGTGCTTGCCCATGTTTTAAATTCACCAGTCAACGTGTTTGCCCATGTTTTAAACTCACCTCATAACAGACTGAAAACTTAACTTGTAAATTATATTTATATTTCAGTTCAAAATTTGTCAGTAATAGAAATAGTCATTGTGTACTACTTGAAAAATTTTAATTGAATTATAGAAAGTTAGTTTAATTTTTACCTCATTTCCTGTTTTCTGATAACATTCCAAATGTGTGTTTTTGGGGCCTCATTGTGGGGAAAACAAGGATAGACTCACTACCTTCCCAACAAGAAGTCAACTAATTGGGGGTATCCTTCAAAGTCGGAGTGCCTCTGCTTGAGAGGCAAGGTACCAAGAGTCTGCATATAAATAAGTCAGGTCTGTGCAGCGGATATTCAAACTACACAGGTTCTGGAACAGTTAAAGTCCAGAGGTGAACAGACAACCACAACTTCTGCCAGTGAATGTTAAGAAGACGAGTGATTACACTACTTGGTTTTTGTAAATTTTAGCTGCATTTCACAATTTTGTGTGTGTGTGCGCGCGCACGCAATTTTTAGCACTGTGTTCATTCCTGGGAGGAGCAGCTGGACGTATGGTTAGAATCCTGGGCTCTAGACCCACGTTCGAATCCTCTGTAAGGTTGGGGATTTTTTTTTAATCGGGGGCACACAAAAAATTCTCACCTTCACAGTCCATGGCGACAGCACTAGCCATGTGGCCTCAAATCCTCAGGATCAAAGACCACCCCCCCCCTCTTACACACACACATACATACACACACACACACTGCAAAAGTGGTATAATAAAGGCAGTAATTGGCAATTGGCTCATTACTGGTCATTCTAAATTGCACTGTCAAAAATGTAAGCATTGGGGTTAGCCCGGCTTCTTGTAACTAAACCTCTGTAACACGACGGGAACGGCATCTCGGGTGACAGGGTTGAAACATTTATTTGCTGAACCAGTGCATCACCAAATATGGAGCAATGACATCAGGCCTCTGTAGTTGGAGGCACATGCTTTACCACTCCACCATGAAAATTCTGTTGTAGTGTCAAGTAAAGGACCCTCTTAGCGCTAGTGGGCCCTTCAGACATATGATGCTAGACTCATGTTTTTACAGACCAATCAGCACTCGGTGGGTGATGGGGTTAATATCACGCCGGCCGGCTTTACCACCCAGTTCATTAACTGCTACCCATTTGAGGCTGGGAACCAAGGTCATTTTTAAAGAAGAAGAAGAAGAAAATGCTGTTGTTTTTAAATGACTAACTGTGATGTGTTTCTAAAAAAAAAAATTTATATTGGAGTTTATTGAAAATTTGGATCCAGAAGTATAATTTTTTTTTAAAAACTTGATTTTATAGATATTTGGTGAAAATGACCATAGAGTGTTATCTATTTTTCTGTTGTTCTATTTCCACGTAATAGGGCAAACTTAGAAAAGCCGGCGGATTCAAAAAGAGGGAGTATAATACAACGGGCTTATCAATTGTGTGCCTTGAACCATCTGGGGTGCCCGGTGCTCAGAATCAAGAAATGTACGAGGAGTTGGTAGAGGTCACTGACCCTCGGGACTGGGCAGAGGTCACTCAAGTAAGTGCATGTTAGTAATATCTTTGTGGGGATTGTCCTACTTATGTTGCAAGTGTGACCTTGATTCTGTGAGATTGGAATCAGCAGCATCAGTTGCTTGGAGTACTTTTGTTAACTCTTCTGAATCTTCTTCCAACCAGCTGAATGAAGTTAACATATTATGTTAATTGGTAGTTAAATTAACTTTGTCTTTACTGGGTAATACTGATGTATCAATAATTCTTGCACTTAACATCTGAATATCATGGACAAAGAAGAGGAGAAATACTGACATTTTGAAAGTTCTCAGCATCAAGGCAGATTGGCTAATAAACAGGATCCTATCTCGTAAGCTGAAATATTTTGGTCATATCCAGTGCCATTGGAAAGATAATAACAGCAGAAGGCATGGTACCAGGAAGGAGGGGCAGGGGCCGACCAACACGAAGATGGGCACAGGATATAAGTGACTGCTTGAACATGAAAGTACATGAGGTGGGAGAACTGGTGAGAGACCGAGTTTATTTCATGCAGGCTTTGAGAGTGACGTTCTGCAAAGGACCTGCCACATGTTGATGATGATGATGACACCTGACTATTGTGTCATGTGTTTTCTTATGTTTCACATTTAGTCACAACATTAGAAATCAGAATTTCCCACTGTCTATTCTCATTGCCTCTTTAATGCATCTCCGTCATTTGATAATCACAGGCACAGATGAGAAAGTAGGACGCATGAGTGTGCTGCCAACTACCTAAACTTGTAAAAAGAAGAGTGCTATTGAAAATTGAGAGGATTTGTCCAGGATAGAAGGGAATGTCCTGACCTACATTGTGAGTCATGGGCAATGACAACAGCTCACAGAAACCAGCAGCTTCAGGCCTCGGAAATGAGATATCGGGAAAAGGTGGTCCAGGTGACAAGAAGGGACAAAGTCCGCAATCAGACAGTAGGTCAAGATCTGGAAATCCAGACCTTACAAACTTGAGTGGATCAGTCACAGTTAACGATGGTTTGGTCATGTATGCATAATAGAAGAAAATCTGCCACTATGGCAGGCATAAAATACTAAGAACCAGACTGCCAGGGCAACCCAGGGTCCGCTGGGAAGACAAGATCTGACAGTCCCTGGCTGACAGAGAACTAAAATGGAACAAAACCAGAAAGAAAACTGCTGATAGAGAAATCTGATGATCTGTCTGGCAAACCTCTACACCCTAAGGTAGAAGAGGAGCGACTAAGTCAGTCAGTAAATAAGCAGACGGGATGGAGGATTAGACTGTGAGCCCTGTGTGACGAATAATGTCACTGCAGAGTAATGTTGATGATGAATGTGACGCAGTCATAATCACTGTAGTAGTGATCTCCATTTATGCTCTTTTCCTCGTAAGCCCAGCTTCTTTAGTACATTGTATGTGGAGGTGGAGATTAGCTCTCTTGTGCCAACCGCGACGATGAAGAGTTTTACTGTATACCCCTTGTCGCTCCTCGGACTGGCCACCAGATCTCTTTACTTTTTGAGCTTGTATAAATGGTTCTCTTTGATCTGTGACTCGTACGACACGCTAAGCTCTATCAGGATGAGCTGGCATTCTGCTGCAGAGTGCAGCACCGTATCTGATTTCGGATTGATTCGGGGTATTTCTAGAAACCAGGCAGGTCATCCACCAGTAACTGTTCCCTTGCACGGTCAAGTATCAATGGATCTTATGCGACTTTGTTGAATTTACCTCTAGAAATCTGTCCAGCCTTGAGGAAGTGCATGGTAGAGGGGGGGGGGGGGGGGGGGGGGGGGGGGGGGGGGGGGGGCGTTAGAACTGACCGTTGATCGTTGGCCCTCATCCTGGCTTTATCCACAGTGTCCATCAGCACTTTTAGGACTTTATTGCGGTGCCATGTGTATCGTCCCTGTCCTAGGGCTTTTCTAAACGCGGACAGTACATGCTTGAGCATCTGCTTAGGGGACATGTCAAGTCGGGGGTCACATGCCATTTAGGCATGTTAGTGTCAGACAGAGGGTAACACATCATAAGCAGATCTTATGTCAAAGCTCAGCCGCAGCGAGGCCAGTCACCAGATCTCACCCAATGTGAGATTTTGTAGCAAGGTACTCTCAAGGCCGATCCACTGGCCTTGCTGCAACTGCTAGGCTGCTTTTTGGATCTGTAACTGGTTATCGGTGTCCCTTATCTGCTGTGTTACCTGTCTGTGCGTTCTTTGGTTAAGGCTTTAGACCACCAAGTGGCTTTTCCTTTCCCTAAGCCGCGTCAGTCGGTTTGTGTGTGACTTCTTTAAATTTCAGTGCTTTCTGAACAGATTCTGTCGCATCTTAGACCTTCCATTTCATATCTGTCTTTAGAAGAAGACTCGTGCAGCATCATAGCAAGTCTTACCTTGTTGACTTTAAACTTTTGAGTGATTGATTTGAACAGAAGCACCAGCTTAGCCTGTTTACAATATAAAGCCACATTGGTCAGACAATAAGGCCCTAGAACCCAAAAAAGAAAACAAATATGCCAGCCATTGTGGCTTTTAGTTGTGTTGCAGTGGGATGATTTTACCCTTATACTATTTTTAGTAGCTGTTTTTCAAGATACAGAAACACACAAGAGTAGGATGCTGCGGAGGGAGGGAAGGGGGGGGGGGGGGGGGGTTGGGTCAGGACCCATGCAGACATCTCATTTTTTAAGGAAGACAATTTTTTTTTAAATAAATATTAAGTGACATTTCAATGACCTACACTTTTTCTTTAATTTAATTGCATATTTGAAGATATCCATTTTTTTTTTAAACCTTGCTAAATTTGGTACTTTTTTTTAACAGGGGCAAAGAACTATGGTCTATGAGATAAACAGCGATCAGAGGGCTACAGAATGCAGAATGCCAGGTAGACTGAATACAATGCTAGACGGTGTACCTGCTAGTGCAGAATGCCACTGCAGACTGAATGAATATAATGCTAGACGATGTACCTGCTACTGCAGAATGCCAGGTAGACTGAATATAATGCTAGACGGTGTACCTGCTACTGCAGAATGCCAGGTAGATTGTGGATACAATGCTAGACGGTGTACCTGCTACTGCAGAATGCCAGGTAGATTGTGGATACAATGCTAGACGGTGTACCTGCTACTGCAGAATGCCAGGTAGACTGAATACAATGCTAGACGGTGTACCTGCTAGTGCAGAATGCCAGGTAGACTGAATATAATGCTAGACGGTGTACCTGCTACTGCAGCATGCCTGGTAGACTGAATATAATGCTAGACGGTGTACCTGCTAGTGCAGAATGCCAGGTAGACTGAATACAATGCTAGACGGTGTACCTGCTACTGCAGCATGCCTGGTAGACTGAATATAATGCTAGACGGTGTACCTGCTAGTGCAGAATGCCAGGTAGACTGAATATAATGCTAGACGATGTACCTGCTAGTGCAGAATGCCAGGTAGACTGAATATAATGCTAGACGGTGTACCTGCTAGTGCAGAATGCCAGGTAGACTGAATATAATGCTAGACGGTGTACCTGCTAGTGCAGAATGCCAGGTAGACAATATAATGCTAGACGGTGTACCTGCTACTGCAGAATGCCAGGTAGACTGAATATAATGCAGACTGGATAGTACAAACTGATTGTGTACCCTGTAGATCAGATTGGATGGTACAAACTGATTGTGCACCCATTAGATCAGACTGTATAGTACAAACTGATTGTGCACCCAATAGATTAGACTGGATAGAATACCAGATAGCACAGACTGTGAAAAGAAGACAAGATTGCACAAATTGGATATCATCCTGAGTAAATATAGACCAATGTTTCTCAACCTGTTGGCATCCACGGTCCACCAAAACGGAAAATTGTTTTGGGCCCTACCTGACAGCGTACATTTGTTCCATCCGATGTCACAGAATTACAGTTTTCAGCTAATGCAACATCTGCTTAGCAGTTAGAAAACCTGATACGTGTTTGGAGCGTTAATTGTGAAAGATAAAGCACTGCAGTAACAATCATTTGATTCCTTTGCTTTGGTTTTTTATTACTGACATGGCTGAGAAAGTCTTTTCACACAAATAAGAAGTTAAAAACAATCTGACAGCTCTATAACTCATACATGGATACTTTTTTTTTTGAGTGATATCCAAAACTCAGACAGTGATTGTGTTTTGTGTCTGCACACACACACACACAAAACTGACATCAAAAGACAACACAATCAGATTTTTGTTGTCATGATATTCACAGCTTTCAGCAAATGTCTTTAAAAGCTGGCATGTTGTGTTGAGTACCACTTGCGCCTGTTTGACTCTCCTCCTTGATTTATAAACTTACTGTTGTTTGTTGGGTAATATAGAACTGTATATTTCTCTGTCCAGAATTCATTCATTCAACTACCTGTTTAAAAAACTGAATATTGTGATGGAAGAAGTAGTTGTGTGTATGACTTCATTAATTTTCTAATTCTTCATTGTCAAAGCACTGTCTGAAGGGCCCACATCAGCGGTTTCAAAACCACAAACAACCAATAAAAACAGCCGTTTATTTCTGGGGTCCTGAAAGGGATATGCAGCCAAAATTGACACACATTTAAGCGGACAGTATTTCTGTCACAGTTTATTTTTGAAGATGCGACTGTGATATCTCAGCGAGTTTATTTGAACCATGTAATCAATTCTTACAGATTTGAATTGTTATTTTCTGTTAATTTTTATTATGGTTTCTTGCTCAAGATATTGTTTGTGTTTTTTCTTCTGTGGCTTCTCTTCAAAAAGTTGAGTTTTGCTATTACTGTGTTTATATTTTTTTTTTGAAGAGGTTATGGTGGTTTACAAATGTGCAAAGAAAGGGGAGATATAAACAACTTAGTTAACTCAAAAAAAATGAGCAGCAATTAGGTGGATTCTTTTTATTTTTGTGCATCCCCCCTTAAAAGGACGGTGTGCACATTGTGTTGTGGTTTTCAGCTAGGATGTGATATCTGCTCTTTTTGGCTCAGTACCTCTGATTTCAGCAAATCTTTAATTAGATACCTTGCTTTAATTAGTCATTATTCTACGCCTTAGGACAGGACACAGTCGACTTTGCAGCCACATGTACACAAGATTTAAGATTGGTGAATCAGCCATGTGTACATGTGGATTGGCACCTAAGACAACAGATCACGTCCACAAAGATTGTCCCAAATACAGCATATCAAGGCAAAACGTTTGGTCAAGAGAAACACCGGTGCAAGCCAGACTTCACAGGTCGCTGAGTGAATTACAACAAACAGTGAAGTTCATACTAGAGACAACACTGCATACATAGATAATCTTATTTCAACAAAAGAAGAAGTCACCTTTTGGGGGCATCAGGTTTATTATTTTCTTCCAGTACTGGAACTCACACTGGGAGTTGAAGCAGGTAATGGCTAAAGAAGCAATTACTCTGAAAAGTTTCAGATTTGAGGAAAGAATATAAACATGTGATTAATTAAAAGAGCTTCATTGAACTGTATTTTATCCTATTTTACTTTGTCTCTTCCCCATGAAAAGCTGGCTACAAGTTACACTTGGCCACATTAGTAACTCCTTTCTATATATACATTTTCTTTGACTTGTTTCTTTCTTGATCTTACAGGCTGTTTCAGTTTGCAACTTTTTTTACTAAATTCTTCAACTCAGAAGACTACTCAAATTTTCTTGATAGCGAAAAGAAATTTGAATTCCACGTTGAATATATTGAAACCTGAACCTGCCATTTCACTTCTCTTGCCTTTAAGTTGAGTTGATTCAAGAACTGACATCACAGCACTCGGGGCATTCCCATAAGCGCTCCGTCCCCATCCTCAGCAGCCATGGAAGAGTTCCGATACCAATGGTGCCAGTAGCATTCTGATTAAACGTCCGTCTTGCCTTTCCTCTGAGCCTCGAGCATCTGCCAAAACCTCTCGTCTTGCCTTAAACACCTTTAATACAAAGAAATAATTTCCATAAATAGAACACCTGCCACTGCATAAAGGAAAGAAAACCACAGTAAATGGAAATGAGATGTCTGAGAAAAGCTGCAGGAGTGGCCAGAAAAGATCAGTTCAGGAATAAGGTCATAAGAGCAAAATGATATCTCAGAACCGGTTTTAATTTACATGCAAAGACACCAAGAATGCATTGTGATGCCATACTATTCAAGACATACAGCAGAAAAGGAGAGAGATAGAGAGCAGGAAGTAGACCAAGAACACAATGGAAAGATAACAACAGAGAAGGTCTACAAAGTACGATGCGTCTATTGTCAAGGCGGCACCCAAAGTGGTACAAGAGGAAGTGAAGAAGAACAACCAAAGTAAGGAAAGGAAATACCTCTGTGAAAAGTTAGTTATGTAATTTTGTAAATATTATTTAGGGAAGATTTGTACTTTCCTGAATAATACAATCTGTGTCAAGATTTGACATCACAGCACTCAGTACAAGCACAAACTAGCTCCATCTCCCTCCTCAATAGCCAGCAAAGAGTTTCCATACTGATGGTACCTGTCGTCGTCTGGTTAACCACTTAACTTGTCTTTCCCCCTTGCCTATTATTTGCGTATCCTTTACAGGACGTTGCAGAACCAACCCCAGCAGTTTTTCTAGGCAAATGTATGTCCAGTAGTTTGTGTTTTATAATTACTCTTGTCATTTCTGATACCTCTCATCGTGACACCTCTGTGACCTGTATTCGCAGCTGGTGAGACAAAATGGTCTTCTTTTTCTGAATGTCCATGCCTTGTCATGTTAGTAATCATGTCTAGCCACAACCTTCTGTCTTGTTTATTTTCAGTTATTTCTGACACAGATATCTTCCATTCTGTGATTTCAGCTTGTCTGCATCTTCCATCTCCTGCCTCTTTTCCATTGCCACTTTCCTCACTGTCATGATAGAATCCAGTTTTCTCCTTTTTCTTGACATTACCTTAGAATGTAGATTATTTTCTTCTTATAGTTGCATTCACCGGCTACAAACCATTCACCGGCTATAGACTCCAGAGGAAATTTTTGTTGTCTGTACTCTATACATTTTATTTTTGTTTCAGGACTTGAGTTTTGTGTGCACATCCATTTTACAGATCTAGCTTGTTTGTATGCAGACTGTTGATTCCTTGCACTCCACTTTGAAGGAAACGCCTGATTTGTCACCTTTAATGTTATACTTAATAGGGAGGCATGAGGTCTATTCCCCCCCCACCCCAAATAGGGCACAGAATGTATAGGTGTCTATTCCCCCCCCCCCCACCCAAATAGGGCACAGAATGTATAGAAGGGGCACAGAATGTATAGGTGTCTATTTCCCCCCCCCCCTCCCCACCCCCCCCAAAATGCCAGTGTGATGCTGACCACATCACCCTAAGAGTGCCAACTGGTCTATAAAATAAAAGTCTAGCCCTATATGCCCAATACGCCTGACGGCATAGAAGAGGGTTGCTTCCTTTTTTTCCCTAATATGACGACCATTGTTTTGAAAGCACATTTCGATACATGCCCTCCGCTGCTAAAGAGCACATATAGGCACAGCCAAAGTTATGCTTGTAATAAAAGTAAAATAAAGGACCCTTTTCCACGCCTCTAGGCATATAGGGCTAGATTTATATTTTATAGACCAATCGGCACAAGATGGGTGATGTAGTCAGCATCAAGCCGGCCGCCTTTACTTCCTGGGACTGCACCCAGTACCCAATGAAGGCTGGGTCGACCTGAAAGCCAGTGTCATTTTGGAGAAAAGTCTGGCTCATGCTTGTAATAGCGTTGGTGATATGTTTATCCTATCATATGGAAACATGTAAGATGTTCTTGCATGGCAACCCACAGGGTCACAGGACTCAGGGCAGCCAAAAACACATTAGAAGGTA